ATTGTGTGGGTTTTCTTTTTTTCTTTTGGTTTTAGTGGATTTTTCACAGGTTAGAAATGATACACCTATGTGTGATTCGGACCATGGCAAGGACAGAGAGAGTGCGCTGCCCCTGAATGAGGGACACCTGTCACTAATCAATTTTACTATTCCTTGAATTAACTTATGGGATACAATTTAGTTAAGGTAGGAGCAGATTTACCGCTTGTGGGAGTTCCCATAGGGGTAAATCTGACAATGCAAATGCACTTAACATTCTTAGTGGAGATACCATGTAACCCTGACCCCATGACGTTCTCTGTATTACACAACCACACAGGCCCACTGTCATTTGCTAGGCCAGATAATACCGGGTTTGGAGGGTGGATCATGCAACTGTGTCTGACTGTTGTTTTAGTCATTGTATTGATTTTGCTGCTCATCCTCATGTTGAAGTTTTGCTGCAATATGTGTTTAAAACTGGTAACAAATTCAAGGCCAAATGTAATGTTAACTGTTGTCATGACCAGGGCCAGAATGCAGGATGTGAAGGATTAGCTGAGCTACCCTTTACTGCTGAAGACAGTGATGTTTGACCTGTTGCATACTTAGAAATGTGCCTGTTGTAGACAGAGGTTTGCTCTCACAAGGTTGGCTCAGTGGGAGTGGAATATTGGCTGAATGCCCAGACTCTGTGATTGCTAGGTGTTCTCTCCTAAGCAGGCGCACTCTAGGAGCAAACACTTTTATGAGAAAGGATGCATTTGGCAGTCTTTGTTATACCTAATCATCAGCAGACGCTGGCAAGTTAGAACTTTATATGGTATGTGTAGACAGTTAAAGGTTTTAAACTCAGTGGCACAACAGAAGCCATTTACAAAGATAATATACAAGTGTAAGAAAGACCTCCTACAATGTTTCATATTCTGCTTGGTTGAATTTTGCTTAGATTATGACATAATTGGCTTACATTATGAATTATTACTTACATGCTTACTTGTAATGTTATATTAGGTTGAGATTAATCTCAAAAGGGAGGAATGTCATGGCAAAATTACAACTTTTGTTATGCACAGGCACTGTATGAGCCTTAACCCTGTACATTTCCAAATGTCTGTTTGGAGGTCTTGTAAGAAGAAGCTGGTATTTTTCCACTCTGCCTCTGTTCAACTTAGTCACACGGTCAAGCGAAAGAGCCTCAGAGTGACCACAGTGTCTGTCTATCCTGTTCTTCTCATATCGTTCAAGGGCACAGCTGTGTGGAGATATGAGATGAACAGAGGCTGGTTTGAACAGAGAGGAGTAACGGAACTAAGGTTATCACTTGTTTGTGCGCTATGACCCGAGACACATAGCCACAAGAAGAAAACAAGGTAGCTTATGATGCCCTGAGCTGCCGGGGAGGGGTGGAACCAGCCTTGACTAAACATTTATAGGTCTACTATATAAGATCTCTGTCTATTTCTGTATGTCGGAGCTCTCGGTCCAACACTCAAGAGTGTGGGGTCGACCAGCCTCATAATTGCAATAATTTAATCGATAATTAATAAAGATGATTGTTTGATGTAATGACAAAGTCTCTCTCACTTGATTAGAATTTCCACGACACTATGAACGTTTGAACATCTTGAAGAACAATCTGGCCTTATTGGCCATGTACTCTTATATTCTCCACCCGGCAAGCCAGAAGAGGACTGGCCACCCCTCAGAGCCTGATCCTCTCTAGGTTTCTTCCTAGGTTCCTGCCTTTCTAGAGAGTTTTTCCTAGCCACGGTGCTTCTACATCTGCATTGCTTGCTGTTTGGGGTTTTAGGCTGGGTTTCTGTATAAAAACGGTGACATCTGCTGATGTAAAAAAGGCTTTATAAATACATTTGATTGATATACACTGAGTGATAAAACATTATGAACACTGCTCTTTCCATGACAGACTGTCCAGGTGAATCTAGGTGAACGCTATGATCCCTTATTGATGTCACTGGTTAAATCCACTTTAATCAGTGTAGATAAAGGGGAGAAGACAGGTTAAAGGATTTTTAAGCCTTGAGACAATTGAGACATGGATTGTGTATGTGTACCATTCAGAGGGTGAATGGGCAAGACAAAAGATTTAAGTGCCTTTGAACTGGGTATGGTAGTTGGTGCCAGGTGCTCTGGTTTGTGTCAAGAACAGCAACACAGTTTCCTGTGTATCAAGAATGGTCCACCACCCAAAGGACAAGCAGTCAACTTGACAACTCTGGGAAGCATTCCGACACCTTGTAGAGTGCATTCCCCGACGAATTGAGCCTGTTCTGAAGGCAAAAGGGAGGGTGCAACTCTATTAGGAAGGTGTTATTGTTTTTTACACAGTAATTGGGCCGGAACCTCACCCATTTGATTGATTTGATACAATGTTGCACTTCACTGTTGATAGCAAACGTCAAGACAGATCAAAAGGGAGGCAGACAGGCTGAGTAGAGATTAATACGATTTTAAAAAACTGCATTTTCATCAGGATGTTTTGTTTTTGTTGGCGTTATGTATTTTGACAATGGAAGTTATAGGCCTACTGCTACATTGGCCTAGGCTCTTAGTTCCATGTTCTCATTTCCTTAGCCGCCAATGGCTCATGGTGAATCAATGTGTCCATATGGCAGAGGCTGGTGCTCTCGCATTAGTGGAATTTTAACTTCGCTTTATCGTTTTAATTCAGATTTGTATTATTAACCACATGACAATGATTGAGAAACTAAGAAGTTATTGAAATTACTGTTAGATGAAAAATGCACATGTGAAAATCATAACTGGAACACAGATAAGTATATATGGAAGGATACATTTTAACTTGAAACTCACAAACTTGAAACTCACGGACTGCCTAGGAATACAGTTGTGAAATAGTGCACTTTTCTTTGTAGGCTGTTACGTTCCCCAACAAGAAACCAAAAATTGTCGCTCAAACAAAAGGGGGAACTAACAGAGTCTCTAACAACCAAAACAGGTGTGGTTCTAGAAGGTGTTCTGAAAGACACTCATGGGGGTTTCCACTGAAAGTTGAATAGCAACAACTGGAACCTAAGACACCCACAATGAGCGCCTACTAAATTTGCCCAAGTAGAGGCAAACAAAACCCACACAACCTATAGACAGGAAGCAAACCAAAAAGTGGAGCAAAACGAAAACAGGGATGATCAGATAAAGGATTGGTTTTTTTAGAAATCAAATAGGGAGAGCCAACTAAAGGTGTTAATCCTCCACATCTCACAAGCCAACTGAAGCACTTGGCCAGCCACTCTTAAATATCACCTGTGCCAGTACAGCTGAAACACCTTCTGACTAACGAGATGACAAGATAGCACAGGTGTAACACATATTGACTAATGAGGTGACACCAATCGGTGTGCCCAACGTGCTAACGTCCAACCTCTAAATATAAATGGTAAAACCAAAGCCTGTAACAAGGCCTAATTACAACTGGTGTGTGTGTGATAGAGAGAGATAACGAGAGTGATGTTGTAACTAAGATTGTGTCTATTAAAACTCAGCACAAATAGACAGCTATGCACGTTTTGGTTTTTGCCCTAGCACTACCCAGCTAATTCAAATAACCAACTCATCATCAAGCTTTGATTATTTGAATCCGCTTTGTAGAGCTAGGGCAAAAACCAAAATGTGCAGCCACGGGGGGCTCCAGGACCGAGTTTGGGAAACCCTGGGCTAGTACACCTACACTACCAGTCAAAAGTTTGGACACACCTACTCATTCAAGGGGATTTCTTTATTTTTACTATTTTCTACATTCTACACTGGCCACTTTAAGAAATGGAACACTAGTCACTTTAATAATGTTTAATAATATTTACATATCTTGCACTACTCATCTTATATTTATATACTGCATTCTATTCTATAATATTCTACTGTATCTTAGTCCATACCGCTCTGTCATTGCTTGTCCATATATGTATATATTCTTAAATCCCATTCCTTACTAGTTTTGTGTGTATTGAGTATATGTTGTGAAATTGTTAGATATTACTTGTTAGATATTACTGCACTGTCGGAGCTAGAAGCACAAGCATTTCGCTACACCCGCTATAACATCTGCTAAACACGTGTATGTGACAAATACAATTTGATTTGATTTGATTTGATTTAGTGAAGACTTCAAAACTATGAAATAACACATATGGAATCATATAGTAACCAAAAAACTGTTAAACAAATCAAAATATATTTTATATTTGAGATTCTTCAAATAGCCACCCTTTGCCTTGATGACAGCTTTGCACACTCTTGGCATTCTCTCAACCAGCTTCACCTGGAATGCATTTCCAACAGTCTTGAAGGAGTTCCCACATATGCTGAGCACTTGTTGGCTGCTCTTCCTTCACTCTGCGGTCCGACTCATCCCAAGGCCAGGTCATCTGATGCAGCACTCCATCACTCTCCTTCTTGGTCAAATAGCCCTTACACAGCCTGGAGGTGTGTTGGGTCATTGTCCTGTTGAAAAACAAATGATAGTCCCACTAAGCCCAAACCAGATGGGATGGCATATCGCTGCAGAATGCTGTGGTAGCAATGCTGGTTAAGTGTGCCTTGAACTCTAAATAAATCACAGACCGTGTCACCAGCAAAGCACCCCCACACCATAACACCTCCTCCTCCATGCTTCATGGTGGGAACTACACATGCGGAGATCATCCGTTCCCCCACACCGCATCTCACAAAGACACAGCGGTTGGAACCAAAAATCTCAAATTTGGACTCCAGACCAAAGGACACATTTCCACCGGTCTAATGTCCATTGCTCGTGTTTCTTGGCCCAAGCAGGTCTCTTCTTCTTATTGGTGTCTTTTAGTAGTGGTTTCTTTGCAGCAATTCGACCATGAAGGCCTGATTCACACAGTCCCCTCTGAACAGTTGATGTTGAGATGTGTCTGTGACTTGAACTCTGTGAAGCATTTATTTGGGCTGCAATTTCTGAGGCTGGTAACTCCAATGAACTTATCCTCTGCAGCAGAGGTAAATCTGGGTCATCCATTCCTGTGGTGGTCCTCATTTATTTTATGTATATATTTTATATAATAAAAATATATATTGATTTATGTCCTTATTGTAGGCATAATATTTCATAGAAAGATGTGTATACATCATTTTTAAGCATACAAAATCTTGTTTTAATATACACAGTTTACAATAACTTCTTGACAAACAAACAGACAATTCAGGCATGTAGGAATAATATACATCCTATAAAACACAGAAACATCACTCTGAAAAAGGTTATGGCTATGGTATTGTGATGACTACGGTAACCTTGAGGTTATGGTGTCATGTTGGTCATTCGTTCCTAGCACTGATCAAGACAATGGGGATGTTGCGGCTCTTCATCTCTCTGGACATCTGGCACCAGACACAGCAGTTGCAGAAGGTGGCGTTCACACAGTCGTTACAGAAGTTGCCCTGGAGACAGTCAGCAATCTTACAACAATGGTCATACAGGCAGTCATATAGCAGACATTGGAATGGCCCAACACAAGAAAGTTATTAATTCCTAGAGAAGGGAAAATGTTCACTAACAATTAAACCTATGAATAGCACGGTGCACTAGGTCAGTGGTTGGATGACAAAATGTGTATCGTAATGTACTTTATCCGAGTTCAGTAAATGTAATATTTTTTTCCAGAAGAAGCCAACTTTAAATGTACTTACTTTGATGCCGTAGCGCTGGCGCATGGACACCCTCATGGACATTGTGATGGGTGGGATGATGCCGAAGATGTCCAGCAGAGGGAGACAAAGACACTGTCCGTACTCCCTTGAATGTATACAGGCATGGCAGGGACAACACCAGCATCCAAAACAGCCTGGCCAAAGTGAATGAAGCACCAATCGAGAACATAAACTTATAAAACTATGAATTTTTAACACTCTAACATACAAATATACAAATATACACAAACAAATGTGATCACACACAAACATGCACAAATATATGATGCACGTCAGGCACACACACACACTAACAGTCTGCCATGTCATCGGTGCAGTCACAGATTCCGGAACTCCACTGGTCAGACTCCTTGGACTCCATGACGGGAAGAGGCTGATCAATGACGAATGTAGGCATGGTGACTTATCTACAAAGACAGAGATCAGAGGACATCTTCAATAAACCACTCATGGCTTTGGTTTGCTTTGAAAGACAGTTCTTAAGCTGTTCTCATCATTGTACAGAACAAATGCTTGTATTCAAACAATTACTAATTCCCAAAAGATCACACATTCATTAAATCATTCCATCAAACTTCAATACCAAAAAATAATTCAAAAAGTGTCTGGTCTTCTGTTATTACAGAATTATTACAACAACCTTTTCCATCAGGAAAACATAATCAAAATAGATCTAAACCGTAACTGATTAGAGAGTAAACTATGGAGCCAAATAAATGATCTGAAACACAATTATGATTCCTCTCCATATAACCTTATTGAATCTCACAAGTGCATTTTATCTTTAAATGTTTATTGATCAAATATAATAAAAGTAAATAATAAAAGTCTGAATAGGTCTCGAATAGGTGGCCACCTCTTACCTGTGAGAGAGAACTTTGAGACTGAACCATCTATAACAACAGCAGAACTGATGTCTGACACTTCTGAATAAGAGCTGTGGAAGAGTGGAGGAATATTTGTCATGAAGGAATGTCTTAGATACATTCCGATAAACCACACCAGCCGGTCAATCCTGAACATTCCAGGTCAGAGTTAAGCCTTGTTCCTCAACTCTAGAACAGAGTCAAAAAGAGGGTGAGGTAATTAGGCTACTTAATGTCAAACAGTGAGGGTAACGTGACATAGTAAAAGCAAATCACCAGAACCAGCACACCACACAGGATGGCCCAAAGGCTAAGCTAGCCATGTTCGATGGAAATGAAGATTGGGAGTCCTTTCTGTTGCCATTCAAACGGCAGGCTAGGAAGTATGCCTGGAACGGTGCTCAGCGGGTTGACTGGCTACATGAATGCCTGATGGACCAGCCATCAGATATGTATACTCACTGCCTGAGCAAATTCGGGAGGACTATAACCTTCTCAAGGAGCAGCTCACCCAGCGCTTTGGTCAGCGGAACCCCCCGACCACAGTCAGAAGGAGGTTGGGAGAGCTTCGCCAGTCCAAGGAGTCGTTGGCTGAATTTGCAGAGGAAGTGCGCCGGCTGGTCACGCTTGCCTATCCTGGCGTAAACTGTCATGGTCAAAACATATAGATTCAATGGTTGTAAAGATGGGGAGAGGTATGTCCGTAATAAAGAGATGCTCTGCTTTTTTGACACCACATTCCACAAAGCAAATCCTGCAGGCTCTAGTTTTATCTTATCTAGATTACTGTCCAGTCATACGGTCAAGTGCTGCAAAGAAAAACCTAGTTAAGCTGCGGCTGGCCCAGAACAGAGTGGCACGTCTTGCTCTTCATTGTAATCAGGGGGGTAATATTAATACTACGCATGCCAGTCTCTCTTGGCTAAGAGTTGAGGAAAGACTGACTGCATCACTTCTTGTTTTTATAAGAAAAAATGGTTTGCATAGTCAACTTACACACAGCACTGACACACACACTTACCCCACCAGACATGCCACCAGGGGTATTTTCACAGTCCCCAGGTCCAGAACAAATTCAAGGAAACGTACAGTATTATACAGAGCCATGAGTGCATGGAACTCACTTCCATCTCATATAGCGCAAGTGAACAGCAAACCTGGTTTCAATAAAATAATAAAGCAACACCTCACGGCACAATGCCTCTCCCCATGTGACCTACTTGTTGTGTGTATGTACTGAGATGTATGTGTAACTGATAGATGCACACACACACACTACATGTTCATGTTTTTAAACGTATGTCAATTGTAAAGTATTTTGTCTGTAATCTCTTGTCGTTATATGTCGGACCCCAGTAAGACTAGCTGTCGCCATTGGCGTCAGCTAATGGTAAGCCTAATGAATCAAATAAATCGAAAGCTAAATCTGCAAGATCAACTAGCAACCGACGCATTCCTCAAGGGCCTCAGGAACCAGAATGTGGCTTATGAAGTAATGAATCAGGATCCCATCTCACTTGTGGAGGCTCAGAGACTTGCAGAGGCTGCAGAAGATGAATAAGCTACAGCTAAAGCTTGAACATGTTGCCGCTTTGTACCACAGGAGCCAGGAGTTCCCAGAGTACTCTCTCAAGCAGTATGAGGGCAGCAGCCTTGAGAGTCAGGAGAGGAGGCAAGGACGTTTACCACTGCAGCAGGGTAACAGGATGAGAGTCCGCTCACCAAGTCCCACCCGCACTGCTACAGGGCCGTGTTACCGATGTGGCGAGGAAGGACACTTCAGGAGAGAATTGGTGAGGCCCCTAAGCCCAACCCCTCCCCATAGCCGGGGTGGTAAAGAACTTGACCAAGCCACTTCTGCAGGTGGGCTTGTCAACCAACGAAGCCAGTCCCCTACTGTACAAGTTGGCCGTACTACAAACAGAGGGCCAAGTTTGCAGATAGCTCTGACAATCAACGGCGTCCCAATCCAAGCTGTTGTAGACAGTGGAGCTGAAACAACAATCATCTCTGAGAGCCTTTACCAGCAGTTCCCTGTGAGTGAGCAGACAACTCTCAAGAAGACACGTCTTTAGAATGCTGAGTCGGGGAAAGACATGACTGCCATGGGTGGACTGAAAGTTACATTTCAGATCGGCACCAGGAGCTTTGAATGGGAGGTGTACGTGGCCCCTATACATGACTCCCTCCTCCTCTGCCTGGACCTGTTGAGAGCTGCAAATGTAACTATTCATGCCAGCGGAAGAGTCTTCATCGAGGAGGAACTTTTGCCTGGCAAAATCGTTGGAGGCGACAGACCTGACTACTTCGTAGCTCGGGTGCTCCTGGAGAAAGACACAACCTTGTCACCGGAGTGTTAATATCTAGTCTGGGGTGAGGTTGACCGTCCAAAGCCCGGAGTCTCTGTTGTACTTGAGCCTCTAAGTATCACCGAAGCGGTGTCCTCCGGAGGTGTCGCCACAACCATGGAGCAGAGGGTGCCTGTCAAGCTCTGCAACCTTTCGAGCAACAAAGCTGCTCTACCAAGAGGAGCTTGCCTTGGCCTCCTGGTTGAAACGTTCACTGATGGCCCCTCCAGTCCATCAAGTCCAGCTGAGCAGCATAAAACACGCAGTCCTGGGGAACAGCCTGAAAGTGCACAGCGACCAAAGATTAGAAGAGTGATTGCTGCCACAGACCTACCTGAACATCTCCAGGCCTGTTTGCTGCTTCAAGCTTTGAGCTCCTGCTTGAATACAAATCCCTTTTTGCAACGACCAACACTGACTTAGGCTACGTGTCTGCTGTCACCCACAAGATAGACACTGGAGCGGCTAGGCCAGTACATCAACCGATTAGACGGACACCTTTCGGGTTCCAAGGAGAAGAGGAAACGCACCTCAATGCCATGCTGGAAGCAGGTGTCGTCACACCATCCTCCTCAGAGTGGGCATCCCCCGTCATCTTAGTTCGTAAGAAGGATGGTGTCGAATACCGCCGCCTCAACGGCCTGACAGGCAAGGATGCATACCCCTTGCACAAGATTGAAGAGTGTCTTGATGTCCTTGGGGGAGCCAACATCTTCTCCACATTAGATCTTGAATCTGGGTACTGGCAGATAACTGTGGATGTAAAGGACTTGGAGAAGACAGCGTTTTTCACTAGATATGGGCTCTACGAATACACCCGTATACCATTCGGCCTTTGCAATGCCCCAAGTACGTTTCAGAGGGCCATGGAGATTGTCCTCTGTGGACTCTAATGGGAAACACCACTGATCTATCTGGATGACATCATCATCCTGGGGAGAGGAGTTGACGAGAGCCTACAACGGCTTGCAGATGTCTTCCAATGCCTTCACAGCCACGGACTGAAGCTGAAGTCATCCAAGTGCCACCTGCTCAAGGAAGAAGTCCTGTTCTTAGGGCATGTCGTGAGTGGTGAAGGCATAAGTCACAAACATGCTCTGATCAAGGATGTGCAAGCCTGGCAACCTCCTAGTTATGTGCAAGAACTGAAAGCCTTCATAGGGTTATGCAATTACTACCACAAGTTCGTTCCAGCCTTTGCAGAACTGGCCAGCCCACTCAACATTCTCCTCAAGAAGGAAGCTAAGTTCCCGTGGAGAGAAGAGCACCAGCATGCCTTCACTCAGCTTAATGAGAAACAGCCCCAATACTAGGGTATCCAGCTGCAGAAGGGAAGTACATCCTTGACACGGATGCCTCCAACCACAGCATTGGAGCAGTGCTGTCACAACTACAGTGGGGAGAAGAGAGTTATCACCTATGCAAGCACCCACCTCACGCCAGCTCAGCAGAGGTGCCGCATCACAAGGTGCGAGTTACTGGCCATTTTCCGCTGCACCCGCCAATTCCGACACTACCTCCTTGGCTGGAAGTTCCTACTGTGCACCGATCACAGCAGCCTGACTTGGTTGTTTTGGTTCAAGCACCCAGAAGGCCAGCTAGCTCGCTGGTTGGAAGAGCTCAGCCAGTATGACTATGACATTGAATACCGGGCAGGCAACCGCCACTCCAACGCCGATGCGATGTCAAGACGGGACGGCTCCAGAGCATGTGACTGCTATCAAGCAGGCAAGGATGTAACGGACCTACCCTGCCAAAGTTGTAAACACCGCCAGAGACTGCATGAACAGTGGGCGAGGTTCGAGGATGATGTCGATGATGTAGTGCCGCTGGCGCTGAGGTGCAGTGGACTTGGAGAGACTGAGACCAAAGAGCCCAACAGTGCCAGTAACCACCCAACACGGGAAGACGGCCAGCCAGATGTTCCAACGGTAGAAGCTCGAACAGTAAACTGGCTACAGCCGGTGAGGAACTAGCCAAAGAGCAAAAGAAAGATCCTGTCCTCTCCATCCTTCACCAGTGGAAAGAGTCAGGAAACCTTCCCACAAAGGATCAAGTTGCCCTGGAGAGCCCTGCACTAAGAAAGTACTGGCTGTGCTGGCCTCAAGTTGAACTATGCCAGGGTGTTCTCTACTACCACTGGGAGAAAGCTGGTGGACTCAGCCCATCTTCACTGTTGCTGGTGCCAGCCTCAATGCAGACTGAAGTGTTGCAAGCTTGTCACGATCTCTTCCTCTTCCTGACCAAGGAGCTGAAATTGCTGCCAAGAGACTGGTATATTACTTCATTGCTTGCTTCAGTGCCAAACTTGAGCTGCACACAGACCAAGGTCGCAACTTTGAAAGTTGTGAGCAGGCTCTTGCAGATCTCAAAGAAAAGGACAACCCCCTATCGCCTGGCTTCCAACGGTCAGGTTGAGCTACTCCAGATGATCTGCTGCTACGTGGACCAGAATCAGCGAAACTGGGATGGACACCTGCCGCTCCTGACGTCAGCCTACCCAAGCTCCCTACATGCAATCACTGGGTTCACTCCAAAAAGGCTGATGCTTGAAAAGGAGATCCATCAACCTCAGGATATCTGGTCTGGTGCAACAGAGGTCAAGTCTGACAGGATGGAAGGCCCAGAGTTCCTCTACAACCTGGAAGAAGGTCTAAAGGAAGCACACATAACTGCAAGGGAGCATTTCCGAGCAGCTCAGCAGCATCAAAAATAAAATACATGAGAGAGGACTTATACTGTCGGAGATCTTGTATACATCTGGGATAGCACCGAGAAGAAAGGGCAGAGCCCCAAACTCCAAGCACCCTGGAAGGGCCCTCACATGGTCTCTGCATGCCGTGGCCCTGTGCTGTATGAGATACAACAACACAGAAGGATAATGCGCCACGACCGCCTCAAGCCCTACGACAGTGAGGTTATCCCGGTGTGGGTCAGGCAACAAAGGAATCAGGTCCTACAGCAGAGTAAAGACTCCACTGAGACACCCACACACCTGGAACCTCAGCAACTACCTGAGCCACCCCCAGATGGCAGTGACACAGCTTCAGACGCTCCTGAACAGGAGCCAAAAGAGAAACAGGAAAGCAAAGAAAAGTAGCATCAGCCTGCTGCACGCCGTCATCGGCAGTACAAAACACAAACGGTGGAAAAGACCAGACGAAAAACAAGACATTGAAGTCAACACTCCGTGGATGAAAGGTTCACAAACCTGCGAGATACAACAGTAGTTAAAAAGGGAAACGAAAGAAAACATGGACTGTGTAGTTTCCAGTTAAGTTACAAGTCAGAGAGACTGTGGACTTTGTTTATTAATCTTTATTGTTTAAGCCAGTCTACAGGAAGTTTAGACTGTAAGGACTGTAGTTATGTCATTTGTAACTTAGGGTTACCTGTACCGAAGGGACTCGGTACTCCTGGAGGGGGTAGTGTATTGCAAATGGCATAGCCCCTGTTCCCCCCATTTGTTCTACGGTGCACGTTCTGTACGCTTGATAGCTGCTCATTGGTTAATGGGTGTGCCATGTTTAGGTTAGCCAGTTGTCTAGTATTTCCCACAGTTTAAGGTTTGCTCGCATGCTCATGGCATGGACATCGTTCTGTGCCCGAGCAAAAGCGCCTGGACATAGCCTGTGTTATCACCATTTGTATAAGAACATCTACTTAATTCCAGTATATTCATGTGAATTCCCATCATCATTCCGGTATCATCTGAGAAGATCCTTCAGTAAAAATCCATCAAACGTGAGTCATTCTTGTTGTGGCCATTCTTTACCTACGCATCAGTAGCTAGAAAGAGCTGCAGTACATTCGGAAAGTATTCAGACCCCTTGACTTTTTCCACACTTTGTTACGTTACAGCCTTATTCTATAATGGATTAAATTGTTTTTTTCCCTCATCAATCTACACACAATACCCCATAATGACAGGTTTTTAGAAATGTTTTTTTATATATACAGTTTTGCAAATGTATCATAAAAAAAAAAAAATCAAATGCTGTGACCATGATCAGATTTACAATATCTTGTACCCTATGGATGCTCCTATTATGTACCTGTTTGTAATAGAATTCCATAAATACGAGTGTATGAGTGATCTCATACTCATACTTTGATAATTTTTTTATTGTGCCATAATTCCTGCAACTTCAGTTCGTACGTCATGATGCTATCAGGTGCGGGTTTGGGAAATCCCGGATTGTAATAACGCATTTATCATTGACGTTCTACACCTTTATGACGTCGAAACTGTGCTTACTGGGAGTGGGCATATGTTCAACTGTAAAATCACAACAACACCTCACAATGGGGAATATGTGAAGAGGACCCTCTGCAATGACCACTAGTTATAGAAAAGGTTTGAAATAATGTGCACCAATATTTTACCAGAATAACTGAAAAGTGAATAATACTGAAACCATATTGATGGTGAAATGCATTTGAGAACGTTTTGCGCAATGGACGAGCAAACGTCTTGTCTGACATTTATGGCAGAAATGTGTTGTGTTGTGGATCAGCTGGGATATTGTGCCATCAAAGTGTGAAATATGTATTCAGTTCATTTTCTTGAGTTTTGTTATCTACCACATTCTCAATTTTAACTCCGTCTTTAGCCAAGAACAACGACATTTATCTAATCGACACTAAAAATATATGCCGGCATCCTTCCTGCATGCTGTACTGTTGTGGAAGCAAGGACAAGGAGAAGCAGCGCTCCGACGCTGCAGAGGTGTCGATAATTCTACAGAGAGAAAAACCGAAAGAACCGAGAAAGCGCACCTCAACCACTGGAAATGTACGGAATAGCGGGAATACCCTAGTTTCTACCGCCCTCTGGCGTACTCCAGCCCAGTTCAGTAATCCGGTGAGGTGCCTGGTTTGGGGAGTCGATTCAACAGGGGTGTGCTGAGCTTTGACTCCCCCCAGCGGAGACGAGGCCAACGGGCCCCGAAACTAGGGCAAATAGGACGGTCGAAGAGAGGTGAGTGCAGCAGATGAAGCAAGCAAAAGATGAGGAACGAGAATTGAGACGAAAGAAACTGATCGGCATATGACTAAAATATAGTCTGACCAGACTATGAACTTAGTTTAATTGTTTGATTCTACAGAATCAGATGACCAATGTATGTTGATAATAACAGTATTTTTCCCCCGTACTTTAATATATTCCTTTTACAGTGGTGATAGAGGATGAGGACTTGGATGACGTCATGAACAACAATGGCCTCCCAATATCAGTCGATATCTCTCCTGTTGCCTGAACACTGTCAGACTGTCCAGACCTCAAGATCGTGCTCATTTGTGAAATTCTGAAGCGAGGACCACTTGTTCTGGACAATACCCAGTTTAGGTGCCCATTGCAAAGTTTGCAATAGCAGCATGCACATCACCTGTAGTTTAGCTCTTCCTGGAGGGAAGGTTGGTGTTCCAAGGAAATAGAGAGAAATTGTGCATCTCTGCTGCTATTCTGGTTTTGAAGGGGAGGGGAGCAAGTATGGTAGATTTGGAGCCGGACTGGCTGAAACATAAGCACACAAGAGAAGGCCCTACCCATCAAGACCTGCCCCTTCAAAATGAGTTGACCTATGCTTTTTCACTGTTTCACATATTATGTTGACAAATACACTTTATTTTAGCCTTTGACGGTCGACAACACTGTCTCATTTTGGTGCAAAGGAAGTGTCTGTAAAATCTGTTCTAAAACATGTTAGATACACTGAAGACTTTAATTTGTCATGCATGTCCTAATTAGAAGCTTAGTAGGCCTATACCCTGCCTATGTTGTAATGTATTTTACTCTCTACCCTTGAGTTACTAGACAAAGGAGTTCTCACTGTGAACTAGTGAACTTCCATGTATCCCTGAATAGAGGTGTAAATACACCTTTTTTAGAATTAGCCTGTTGTCTAATATCCTTCACCAATCACCATAATGCCCCCATCTGGTCAAAAAAAGTAATATGACATTCAGACAAGTTGCCTAACTCTGCACTCTGTATTGGAGGATGGAGGATCAATCATTTTGCTGGTTCATGTTAAACCCAGTTACGAAGCAGAAGGATGAAGTAGATCGCAACATGGAGGAGAAATTCGGTATTTGGTGTAAGACTGACCAAGATGTGAGGAATACGTTGTTTTGATATGGAACCATTGGTCAGTTTGGGTCAGTCTCATCTCTTTCCTGGTAGCTGTAAAGTTATACAATTATATCACTAGCTATAAAAGGGTTAGGCCTACTTCAACTCCAGTAACAGTAATTCAATTCTCATTAAAACTAAACTAAACTATATGCTTGGACTGATACTAAAGTGGGTGTGTTTTTTTTTACAAGTCACTTTGCATGAAAGTGTCTGCTCTGGCATGTATTATTGTAAAATCTTGATTATACTTCTTGAAATGTGATATGCTGTTGTACAATGATAGTACCACCAGAGGGCGATAAAGTCAAAGGAACAATGCTCTGACCAGATCTTTTCTCTCACTCAATTTAAAACCACTCTAAATCTACTAGTACAGACTTGATGACATCTGTAATTCATTTGGAATAAAACCTGTTTGGGTTGTCTTTGGAAATGAACCTAAGTTCGGGTAGTCTTTGGAAATTAACTTAAGTCACAAGCTCACTGTTGGAGACAATGAGAACAATTTTAGTATGAGGAGAACAGTTATTTTTCTAGGCAAAATGTAGATCTGAAAGAACTTTGTGGTTGTACACTCCCCTACGTATTTATTTGGACAGTGAAGCTGAAACGTTTAATTTGGTTCTATATTCCAGCACTTTGGTTTTGAGATCAAATGTTTCATAAGAGGCGACAATACAGAATGTCACCTTTTATTTGAGGGTATTTCAAATAAAAGTTTATTGGTTGTGTACACAGATTTGTAGGTGTTATGGCAGCAGGTAGCCTAGTGGTTAGTGCGTTGGGCAAGTAACCGAAAGGTCGCTGGTTTGAGTACCCAAGCCGACAAGATGAAAAAATCTGTTGATGTGCCCTTGAGCAAGGCACTTAATCCTAATTTGCTCCAGGAGCACCGTACTACACTATGGCTGACCTGAGAATACAGTATATACATACACATTGAGTAAACAACAGAATATGAGGTGACCAGTGTTCAATGACTCTATACATGGGGAATTGGTCTCAAGGTGCAGGGCAGAGTACTGGGCAGGTAGCCGGTTAGATAGAAGCAGTTTTTCACTCTCTCGGTCCTGGCTTTGACGCACCTGTACCGTCTCTGCTAGAAGGTAGCAGATTGAACAGACCGTGGTTTGGGTGACTGAGGGCCTTCCTTTGACACCGAGTGCAGTAAATGTCCTGTAGGGCAGGCAGCATGTACCTGGCGAAGCATGCCCCCTGCAATGCATTTTTTCATACATACACTACATGACCAAAAGTATGTGGACACCTGCTCGTCGAACATCTCGTTCCAAAATCATGGGCATTAGTATGGAGTTGGTCTCCCCCCTTTGCTGCTATAACAGCCTCCACTCTTCTGGGAAGGCTTTCCACTAGATGTTGGAGCATTGCTGCAGGGACTTGCTTCCATTCAGCCACAAGAGCATTAATGAGGTCAGGCACTGATGTTGGGCGATTGGGCCTGGCTCGCAGTTGGCGTTCCAATTCATCCCAAAGGCGTTCAATTGGGTTAAGGTCAAGGTTCTGTTCAGGCCAGTCAAGTTCTTCCATACTGATCTCGACAAACTATTTCTGTATGGCCCTCACTTTGTGTACGGGGGCATTGTCATGCTGAAACAGGAAAGGGCCTTCTCCAAACTGTTACCACAAAGTTGGCAGCACAGAATCGTCTAGATTGTCATTGTATGCTGTAGCGTTAACATTTCCCTTCACTGGAACTAAGGGGCATAGCCCGAACCATGAAAAACAGCCCCAGATCGTTATTCCTCCTCCACCAAACTTTACAGTTGGCACTATGCATTGGTGCAGGTAGCGTTCTCCTGTCATCCGCCAAACCCAGATTAGTCTGTCAGACTGCCAGATGACGAAGAGGGATTAATCACTCCAGAGAACGCGTTTTCACTGCTCCAGAGTCCAATGGCGGCGAGCTTTACACCACTGCAGATTGTGTGCGGCTGCTCGGCCATGGAAACCCATTTCATGAAGCTCCCGACAAAAAGTTATTGTGCTGACGTTGCTTCCAGAGGCAGTTTGGAACTCTGTAGTGAGTGTTGCAACCGAGGACAGACGATTTGCGCTATGCGCTTCAGCGGTCCCGTTCTATGAGTTTGTGTGGCCTACCACTTCGCTGCTGAGCCGTTGTTGCTCCTAGACGTTTCCACTGCACAAAAACAGCACTTACAGTTGACCGGGGCAGCTCTAGCAGGGCAGAAATTGTACGAACTGACTTGTTGGAAAGGTGGCAACCTACGACGAAGTGTAGAGGTTAGGGATTGATTTGGGACAGGACATGTATATTTTTGCCTTGCTGATATCCAATGGCTTGGCATTTTGTTAAAGTTTTAGAAGGACAGAATGACTTTGGGGTAAAGCTCAGTTTGAACACCACCCTGAAGATCTCACAAGGCAGCACTGCATTTCACCCCCCACAACTTACTGTATCAGGGGCCTCATTTCAGCAGAGTTCACATCTGGCTGATTACAAAGCAACCTAGCTAGTCAGGACATATAGACAAGACTTATTGCATCATCTCTGCATCTCTTGCCTTGAATCCCACAAAGCACTCCCAAAGCCAGAACTTTAAAAAAAATTATTTACAGAAGACAAATCTCAAAAATAACAAATTATTATTTATTTAAAAAGTTAATTATTCTGAATGTGGCAGAAAGTATTTGAAATCTACCGTCTCTTTGAAGCACACATACTGTAGGCTACTAGCAACAACAAAAAAACACTTGACAAAAGGGAGAATATGGAGAGTCAAATGTTTCACCAAACGCATCACACTGATTTCCTTTACCACTGATAATGGCAATTACTGTAAATATAGTCTGGCAATCTTTTAAAGATATGAAGGACTCAGTCCCAGACCTTCAAAAAAAGGTATTGACTGATAGCTTCATATGATGTGTTGTCTTATGCATTGAATAAAAAATATCTAGCATAAACATTTAAAAGTCAGACAATGGATGTCCATCTGGCTCCTAAAATATGTTGTGGGAGGATTGGCTGTTGTAATGCAATCCCAAATCATTCCAATCATCTGGCCTGTCCATGTAGACTACAGTAATAGACATGGGAAAAGTGGAGTGATGGTGTGAGAGAAGGGGATATGAAATGTTCTCCCGGAGGCCGACACTCACCCTCTGCGCTCCCTTAGACAGAAGTAAACATTATGAATAGTCCTTGAAAACGTAACATAAAAACCAAATCTCTTAAAATTACATCCTTACAATATCAGTAACTGAGGGTACACCGTGGATAAAATTCAAAACATACATAGTTAAAAAACAGAATGCTATCTAGGTGGACTTGGCAGAGCCCAAATAATATCTTGAGTTGGACCGATGCAATGTACATGCCAAGGTTTTTCCTTGTGCCTCCAGACAGCAGGGCTGGCTCCTGCTCAGACAAATTCCTTGGTGCTGCTAGGGGGGCGGTTGGAGGCGATGGGGTATTTGGGTGTAGGTTTGCCCTTGGGGCAGGATGCTGCAAGCATGGCACCACCAATTATGTCCAGGAAGGCTCCAGCCCAGGCAATGAAGATAGCTAAACCAAACTCATACCTAGAGGAGATGAAGGGCAGGGTTTGTGTTGGTATCAGTACAATTGCATGCGTAACAGAAAATAGGCCGCAACTTCTAGCATTCACCAACTCCAAGACCGTGAGTTAATGATTCCAGGTAATAAGAGGGGCAATAAAGAATGGAAGGAGGCCATAGAGGGATTCAGCAGTACTTACTTGGAGTTGACAGGGGCGAATGGGTTGTAGAACTCCTTGATGATGTTGTTAGCAAACCACGAGCAGGCGATAGTTGCACACAGAGCTATGGAGAGGAGGAACAAAACGTTAGAGGTGAAAATATCCGATCATACAGAGAACTTAGAGCAAATGACATATCTGCCGATTTCAAAGTAACTCACATCCAATTAGCAGGACGATGCCTCCAGTCATGGTGATGCGAGACTTCTTGGTTTTGTCATCTCCTCCACAGTTGGTGCACTTCATTCCCATGGTTGCCACACCCAATCCAGCCACGGTCACAATGATGCCCACGATCATCAGGGCACGCGTTGCCTGCAGGGCGCCTGGAGAAGTGGGGAGGACAAGGTTAATACACCAGGTTATCCCTTTAGGGTGCCATGCCCTATTAAACATCATTTTATTTATTTTTTCAACTGAGACACAAGTTAGAGTTTTTGATAGTGGAAGGAAAAGTGAAAATGGTCTAGTGAATGAATGACCATGTTAGTTGACAAATGTTTGATTTATCCACCCAGACTTTAGAGAACTCTGCCTCAAGTGGTTTCGGTTATAGGAATAAAATGCTTTAAACTTAGTTTTAATAGCCAGGTTATTAAGACCCGAGAGCAGTGTAGCCACTGAAACCATACACGCAAACCATTCCACACTGAACTCCTGTCTCAACCACTCCCAATGCACCTGTAGGCAGGTGCAACCAGAGGTGTATGCATTACATGGAAATAAACCGGTTTTGCATGGACATTGCCATTGAGAGCTTCCCACCCACTTGATTACTTTAAAATGGCGGGAGCGATCAGTCAATGATCAGAGCATAGTCTTCCTCAAATTGGTTTGCCTAGTTTGTAAATGGCTTTAAGCTACATGTCCACAATAAATGAATGACAAGATTTGGTTCAAAACTTCTGCACTGCAGGTGGTGGTGAGTCACCAATATTAGCTGTACACATTTTTACAAACAAACATCAAAAGATGTACTACTTTAAAATTGAGATTGCCTCAATGGTGCTGCCCATGCAGTCACAGATGCCATAATGGCACAGATACAACATTGCGATCTCTATAAATCTCTATGGGTGCAACAGAACCCATATCCAACGGAAACCTTCAAGGGTGGAGTGTGTGTGTGTGTGTGTGTGGGGGGGGGGGGGGGGGGGGGTGATTCTCATGAAACCAGATTGAAAATGTCTGTAGCAAATTGAGAAACAAAATCCATGATGCATCTGCAAATATCAACTACCATTCTGAGGACTAAGATCTAATCTTAGGGAAAGTGTCTTATTTTAAATACATTAAAAAATGTCACCTGAATTTTGTACATTTTCACACCAAATTCTCAATACCGTAATGCGTCCTGATTAAACGCTGGTGGTTTTTTATTTTACTTTAGAAAAAGCCAAACTTATTTTAATAAAACACCAAATATGTTGCTGTAGTTCGTCCATAAATGGTATACTAGTTGAAGTTTACATTAAATTAATATTTATTACGCACAGTGTCTGAACGTGTTTCATTACCATAACACTTTTTCAAGTTCCTGTAAAAACACCAATCAGTTTCTAAATACAGTTGTATTCACCCATGATGCATCATCTAGAGGATTAGACCTTAGATGAGCACAGTGAGTTCATTTGCTTATATGCCTTCAGAATAAGGTTCTTATTCTCAAAACGCCACCTTTACACCCACTTGGCCTTCTCATTCCCGAAATGGCTAAAAAGCTCAAACTGTGAAAAAGTCAGATTAAAATTTTTATAATTTCATTTGAAATATTTCAGTGTTATGCTTCATTAGGGGAGCAATATATAAGTACTAGAAATATTGATTTGTTTATCACTTTTTGGACTTCGAAAATTGTTACATAAAGAGAATTGTGGAAAAATGCATATTATCTGATTTTTAAAAAAAACTATGAAATAGATCAGATCCTAATCTCAGTGACTCAACAGGAAATTGTGAAAGATGACAATATATTTTTACAGTTTCGAGAGAATGGCCTGTGTGTTTGTGTGCCACCCCTCCCCCTCACCCCCCCCTCCCCGGCTCAGTCAGGAACCGGTCAGACCAGTCATGAGAGAGACCGGGGGAGTTGGGTTTCACTGAGGGAGAAACACTCCCTCTCCATGCCACTGAAAACATTTCCTTCCTCCACATTCAAAAGAGCCCAAATCAAAATGGATGCCTTGAAGTCAGCAAAGTTCTCCAATATGGCCTCATAACACCCCAAACAATTCAGGAACCATTTAGACAACATACCAACATTTGAAACTATGTATTAAAATGTGGCCGGGGTTCTGAAAAGCTCCAATGACACCAATCAGTATTGGCATGACAAAAACTGTAGGCCTACTCTGCAATCCTCACTTACCAGGACAGCATGAGGACATTCAAGTAAGCAGTTGGCACAACCTAATGCCTTATTCATATCTGGCAATATTCCATCTCCCTGCTATCAGTGCAATTAAAATGGATATCAAGCTATTATTTGTTGAGTTGTTACAGCTGACCACTGGTTTGATTAGTGTTTATCAGAACTGGCTTATGTTCATGTTTGCAGATACAATAAAGCCTACAAGCAAGAGAATAAAAGATAAGGAGTCTATAAAATGATACAGCCTTATCAAAAGGTGTTGTTGATACACAAGTAAAACAAAGTGCTTTACAGCCACTAAAACAACTACCATAAACAGTCCAGTGAACTCAAGCAGTTGGAGTCTGGGAGCATAGTGAACTTTTCAGGTGCACCATGGGTGAAGTATCTGAAGACATGAGTGGAATGGATGGCACTCCCCCAGTAAGCCACACACTTAACTCTACATCTAGACAGCACAGGGTGTATACTGATGAAGAGTAATGGAGGATACATTTTTACACTGAGATGTAGTGACAGAGAAATTACCATAGACTACATTTACATTTTACAAGACTACTTGTTAAGATACAGGATCAAGCTATTTAAATCAGGGGGAAGTGGTCAGTAAGTGTACTGTAGTCAGAGGCTAGCATGTTGCTGTAGCTCCAGGTCTAAAATATTGCAATGTCACAATTTACAGTGATTTGCAACGTGTTGGTATAGGCTAATCATATTCCAACACCCACAGACATTTATCTGAAGAGACCGTGCTGAGAAAAGGCTGTAAAAGTGAGCGGGTTATCGAAAGACAAGGGACTAACAGGTATACAATTGGCCTGGGACACCGAGTTGAGAGTAATAATTCTCTCCATAATACAACAGGGCCCGGTTTCCCAAAAGCATCTTAAGGCTAAGTTCATCGTTAGAACCTTCGTAGGAGCATCGTTAAATCTCTGAGCCGTTTCCCAAAACCATCGTTATTAATGTTGCACTTCAAAACATTCGTAATCTAATGCCTGCCTCACCACCCGTAGAACAGCTAAGTCAATCAATTTTATTTTATATAGCCCTTCTTACATCAGCTAATATCTCGAAGTGCTGTACAGAAACCCAGCCTAAAACCCCAAACAGCTAGTAATGCAGGTGTAGAAGCACGGTGGCTAGGAAAAACTCCCTAGAAAGGCAAAACCTAGGAAGAAACCTAGAGAGGAACCAGGCTATGAGGGGTGGCCAGTCCTCTTCTGGCTGTGCCGGGTGGAGATTATAACAGAACCATGCCAAGATGTTCAAAAATGTTCATAAGTGACAAGCATGGTCAAATAATAATCAGGAATAAATCTCAGTTGGCTTTTCATAGCCGATCATTAAGAGTTGAAAACAGCAGGTCTGGGACAGGTAGGGGTTCCATAACCGCAGGCAGAACAGTTGAAACTGGAATAGCAGCAAGGCCAGGCGGACTGGGGACAGCAAGGAGTGTGGTCCTCTGTAGCTCAGCTGGTAGAGCGCGGCGCTTGTAACGCCAAGGTAGTGGGTTCGATCCCCGGGACCACCCATACACAAAAAAAATGTATGCACGCATGACTGTAAGTCGCTTTGGATAAAAGCGTCTGCTAAATGGCATATTATTATTATTAAGGAGTCACCACGGCCGGTAGTCCCGACGTATGGTCCTAGGGCTCAGGTCTCTCAGTTGGCTTTTCATAGCCGATCATTAAGAGTTGAAAACAGCAGGTCTGGGACAGGTAGGGGTTTCGTAGCCGCAGGCAGAACAGTTGAAACTGGAATAGCAGCAAGGCCAGGCGGACTGGGGACAGCAAGGTGTCATCATGCCCGGTAGTCCTGACGTATGGTCCTAGGGCTCAGGTTCTCAGAGAGAAAGAGAGAACGAGAGAATTAGAGAGAGCATACTTAAATTCACACAGGACACTGGATAAGACAGGAGAAGTACTCCAGGTATAACCAACTAACCCCAGCCCCCCGACACATAAACTACTGCAGCATAAATACTGGAGGCTGAGACAGGAGCGGTCCGGAGACACTGTGGCCCCATCCGAAGAAACCCCCGGACAGGGCCAAACAGGAAGGATATAACCCCACCCACTCCGCCAAAGCACAGCCCCCGCACCACTAGAGGGATATCCCCAACCACCAACTTACAATCCTGAGACAAGGCCGAGTATAGCCCACAGAGGTCTCCACCACAGCACAAACCAAGGGGGGGGGGCGCCAACCCAGACAGGAAGTGCGTCATTGGATGCTTTTTTGCCCTCCCGCTTCACTACACAACGCTAAACATGGATAAACCATGTGCTTCTGTCCCTCTGAAAGCCGATAACTTCAGAACAAAGTTGACTACAAAGTCACCAATGTCTTTGCAATTGATACAATCAAGCAACTTATAAAAATATGCTTCAAATATTAGGCTACAATATAAACAGTAGGCTATAGGCCCATTTCCATCATATTGAAATAGCCTACATTTAATGTCCAATCAATTGAGATATTTGTTGCTACTTGTAGGCAACGGAGTGTACTTTGTCTCAATATATTTCATGATGTGTAGCCTAACGTGCGCAATGTGCCGGTGATTTAATGCATTTGTTATCGTGGGTTGTTGTATGTAATTATTGTAGGTTAGTATTGTATTCGGCTGTGCCTGGTGTAGCCTGGTGTAGCACGAAGCTAGCTAGCTAACCCACCACCTGGACTAGCTGGCGAGTAGCTATTAGCAACGGTATAGTTGTTTCACGCCTGAGAGTGCCTGTAATTACGCCAGCTGGCTGCCTACAATAATTACATACAATAATTGCCTACCATTCAGCTGTTTTCTAACCTCATTGTCTGAACCGTTAACGTTAGGTAGCAAGTGGCTACTGTGCTTGAAATTTAGCTAGCTTGTTGCTACCTGGATAGCTACTAGTAAACAATAGCTGGAACGACCGAGCGAACAGACGCGAACTGGCTGAGTCAATTCAGTGGCTAGCTTTGCACTTGGCTAGCTAACAGTAGCTGCTAGGGGTAAGTCATAACCTACATTTGTGTTTTGTTTTTTACATATTGATAGCCCGAGTCGTTCAAGGAATTCGGGACATGGGTGACTAGTTAACGTTAGTTTGGCTCTCTCTGTGTGTTCGTGCCTTGAAAGGACGGGGTTATTCTTTGTCTGAAAGCAATGGCTAGCTAGTTTGCTAACTATTCTAGCTAACTAACTGGCTGAATATGTGCCCGGACGATTTTCACGGAATAATACTGCACCTAGTTAGCTAGCTGAATAAACTAAGTTAGTCTATTCCTAGAAAACATTGAACCGCTGTAGTTTACAACAATTATAGTTTCTGAGGTGGAAGTCGGAAGAGTTATACTTGGGAGTTGTGGTGAGGGAGGCCCCGCTCTCTCCTTTCCCAGATGTTTAGTTCATTTCATTCCGATCTCCTCTGCATTATTGTAGCCATCTGCTGCAGCCTGTCAACTATGCCTCTGCCTATCCCTGTTCTCTCCTCTCCGCACAGGCTACACAAACGCCTCACACCGCGTGGCTGCTGCCTCTCTAACCTGGTGGTCCCTGCACGCACCACCCACGTGGAGTTCCAGGTCTCAGGCAGCCTCCGGAACTGTCGTTCTGCTGCCAACAAGGCAGAGTTCATCTCAGCCTATGCTACCCTCCAGTCCCTCGACTTCTTGGCGCTGACGGAAACATGGATTACCACTGAAAACAATGCTACTCCTACTGCTCTCTCCTCGTCTGACCATGTGTTCTCGCATAAACCGAGAGCATCTGGTCAGCGGGGTGGTGGCACAGGAATCCTCATCTCTCCCAAGTGGACATTCTCAATTTTTCCCCTGACCCATCTGTCTATCTCCTCATTTGAATTCCATGCTGTCACAGTCACTAGCCCATTTAAGCTTAATATCCTTGTCATCTATCACCCTCCAGGTTCCCTTGGAGAGTTCATCAATGAGCTTGACGCCTTGATAAGTTCCTTTCCTGAGGATGGCTCACCCCTCACAGTTCTGGGGGACTTCAACCTCCCTACGTCTACATTTGACTCATTTCTCTCTGCCTCCTTCTTTCCACTCCTCTCCTCTTTTGACCTCACCCTCTCACCGTCCCCCCCTACTCACAAGGCAGGCAATACGCTTGACCTCATCTTTACTAGATGCTGTTCTTCTACTAATCTCACTGCAACTCCCCTCCATGTCTCCGACCACTACTTTGTATCCTTTTCTCTCTCCCTCTCCTCCAACACTACTCACTCTGCCCCTACACAGATGGTAATGCGCCGTCGCAACCGTCGCTCTCTCTCTCCCGCTACTCTCTCCTCTTCCATCCTATCATCTCTTCCCTCTGCTCAATCCTTCTCCCTCCAATCTCCTGATTCTGCCTCCTCAACCCTCCTCTCCTCCCTTTCTGCATCCTTTGACTCTCTATGTCCCCTATCCTCCCGGCCGGCTCGGTCCTCCCCTCCAGCTCCGTGGCTTGATGACTCATTGCGAGCTCACAGAACAGAGCTCCGGGCAGCTGAGCGGAAATGGAAGAAAACTAGACTCCCTGCGGACCTGGCATCTGCCTGGCATCTGCTAAAGCTAACTCTCTCTCCTCTGCTCTTGTCCTTCTAGACCTGTCTGCTGCCTTTGATACTGTGAACCATCAGATCCTCCTCTCCACCCTCTCCGAGCTGGGCATCTCCGGCGCGGCTCACTCTTGGATTGCGTCCTACCTGACCGGTCGCTCCTACCAAGTGGCGTGGCGAGAAGCTGTCTCCGCACCACGTGCTCTCACCACTGGTGTCCCCCAGGGCTCAGTTCTAGGCCCTCTCCTATTCTCGCTATACACCAAGTCACTTGGCTCGGTCATATCCTCACATGGACTCTCCTATCATTGCTACGCTGACGACACACAACTAATCTTCTCCTTTCCCCCTTCTGATAACCAGGTGGCGAATCGCATCTCTGCATGTCTGGCAGACATATCAGTATGGATGACGGATCACCACCTCAAGCTGAACCTTGGCAAGACGGAGCTGCTCTTCCTCCCGGGGAAGGACTGCCTGTTCCATCACGGCCTTCATTTTCCGGTTTGGATGAAAATTGTGTTATGCTGATGTAACCGGTGTGAAATGGCTAGCTAGTTAGCAGTGCGCACTAGTAGCGTTTCAATCGGTGACGTCACTTGCTCTGAGACCTTGAAGTAGTTGTTTCCCTTGCTCTGCAAGGGCCGCAGCTTTTGTGGAGCGACGGTTAACGGTGCTTCGAGGGTGACTGTTGTCGATGTGTGCAGAGGGTTCCTGGTTCAAGCCCAGGTAGGGGCAAGGAGAGGGACGGAAGCAATACGATTACATTTACATTTTAGTCATTTAGCAGACGCTCTTATCCAGAGCGACTTACAGGAGCAATTACGGTTAAGTGCCTTGCTCAAGGGCACATCGACAGATTTTTCACCTAGTCGGCTCGGGGATTAGAACCAGAGACCTTTCGGTTACTGGCACAACGCTCTTAACCACTAAGCTACCTGCCGCCCACACTGACACTACTTGTGAATGTCTGAACATTGAATAAAAAAATTGCTGACATTGAATATATAACGTTGTAAAGACTGTTTGTGCAAACAATTGTTTTAAACACTGTCCAGCTCAATATATTCTAATAAGTGTTCCAGATTTACGTTTACAATGTTAAATCTAATCTATGAGACCAGTCTACAACACAGCCCATAGAGCACAGCCTACAGGGGTTTTCACAGGCAGAAGAGGGCACGGCATAGCCCGGTGCAGGACAATGAATGCCAGGATAATCATTACCTTGGTAACAGCACAAACCAGCCGTGTCCACGAACCAATGTGAATAGAAGGCATTTATTCAGTAGCCTGTGTTTGATTATATCCCCGGATTGCTGTATTATCGTTAGAGGTTAGGCATAGTGAACTGAAAATAAAATAAAATGAACATATACATATAAATCACCCCATAGAGAAAGGGATAAAATTTTTAAATGTTTAAGATGGATAACACGCATAGGGTTTGAGTTGAATAGTAAATGGCCAACAAAGCAACCAAAAGTTTACATTGAGCATTGACACTAAGTATGAGTCATAAATCCAGCAACAAGGTGTGGCAGATTCATAGAATTATCAGGTTTCCAATAAGACATGGCGCATGCTAGCCCTTGTCATGACTCTGTTCCATCAAATTACACATAAGAGTAATTGGATGAAGCAATCCTCTGTAGGGGGCAGTTTTGTTAAAAGCAGCCATGCTCGGTCTGAACATTAACACGCATCGCTTGCAGTAGGTTTTGGAAGCATAAGGACCTTTCATAATCGGTGAGAAATTATTATTTTTAAACAAAAAGGTTAAATTGATACACCTTTATAGGGTTCCCACACAGCCATATTTCTATGTTACAACGCTTGTTTATGGAAACAGTGGACTACCTGTGCTAATTAGCTATATGTCATCCGAACACCTCCGTGTAAACGAAAGAGAGGCCAGAAACATTTTGTCAATGAAAAATAGGGTCTGCTGCAAGTGTACAGTACGTTTTAGTTTGCGTAGTTGTTGAATTGATATGAAAGTAGAGGGTTTTATGTTTCTAGAACCATACCGCAATTGAGGATCAATTCACGTTTAGATGGAGTATTTGGCTGTTTTGGCCTCCAGAGCCAATTCGCCATTTAAAACAAAACTTGTAAGGCTCCTCCAAGGAGTAACGTTAGGCTCCTTTATTCCAATATTGGGCTAGGCGCATGCCTCATCCACATAGAAGGGGCGCGCGTTAATTCCCTTGCCTGCTAAATTCATACAGCATGTTCAACATAATACGTTTTTATATTGCTCATGCCACTAATAGATCCATACAGGGGCAAGGCGAACTTTCACCAACATACATTTTTAATGATATATAGATATCTCTATATAAAAACATTCATTAGCCTACTTACTGTCAAGTTGCAGAATTGAGTCGTAGACTTTGCATTGCATCTGGCCTGTGCTCTGGAATGCACAAGACATCCATAATCCCTGGTACATAGACACCGCTGTGATGATGTTGTCCCCGACATAGGCGGACATCTTCCACTGGGGCAGGATTGTGCCTACGACTAACCCGATCAAACCCAGTAGTGACAGGGCAAACCCCAAAATCTGGAGTCCCGAGTTGGCCATTATGAACTCCTTGAATCAAACGGAGTTTTAGGAAAGTCACTGACCTTGTAAAACCTGTAAAAAGTCAACAAATTGTTTGGAACAAAGAGAAAATTACTGTCCACCTGGTTGAGAAAAGGAGTACTTAACGCGTTCACAATGGATGTCTTCAAAAAAAGCAATATTTTGTAAATCTGTTGTTGTAAAACTGTTTTAGAAATTAGTCTCTGCAAAATATAAATCCACCTTGGTAGTTTTGCTTCTAAAATGCAAAGGCGACTATTTCTCAGGTACCTGTTGCATAGCCGCACCTTGAATATAATGAGGATCTGTCTGGGAGGGGCGTCTTTTAAAGTAGCTTCCTCCTCACAAGGGGCGGGAACGCGCACAGTTTCGAATCATCAACAGGTATCTTATAGACCTGAGGTTTCATTATGTCATGGTATCAGCCAGAGCAGAATTTCTTCCGAATGTGATTGTATGACTATTCTTTCACGAATCATTTGGTGAGTTTAGTGAAAAAAAAAGTATGTTTTCCATACAACTCCTGTGCTCAGACATAGGCTAGCTAGGGCCTATCCCAGGGCACCATTAATTATATTTTGTAGTTTGGCATATAGCTTAAAGTAATGTGTTATTTTTCTCTCCACTGCATTGGATGACGAAAATGCCTCCAGACAACAGTGTTTGCATGGAGATGGTGAGTTTATCGCCCCAAACGTCCCATACTGAAGCTTAATATTTCAAATACATATATGTAATATACAGTACCAGTCAAAAGTTAGTACCGGTCAAAAGTTTGGACACAGGTACTCATTCAAGGGTTTTTCTTTATTTGTTCTATTTTCTACATTGTAGAATAATAGTGAAGACATCAAAGCTATGAAATAACACATATGGGTTAAACTAATCAAGATATATTTGAGATTTTTCAAATAGCCACCTGTTGCCTTGGACAGCTTTGCACACTCTTGGCATTCTCTCAACCAGCTTCACCTGGAATGCTTTTCCAACAGTCTTGAAGGAGTTTCCACAAATGCTGAGCACTTGTTGGCTTCTTTTCCTTCACTCTGCCTTCCGACTCATCCCAAACCATCTCAATTGGGTTGAGGTCGGGGGATTGTGGAAGCCAGGTCATCTGATGCAGCACGCCATCACTCTCCTTCTTGGTAAAATAGCCCTTACACAGCCTGGCGGTGTGTTGGGTCATTGTACTGTTGAAAAACTAATGAATGTCCCACTAAGCCCAAACCAAATGGGATGACGTATCACTGCAGAATGCTGTGGTAGCCATGCTGGTTAAGTATGCCTTGAATTCTAAATAAATTACAGAAAGTTCACCAGCAAAGCACCCCCACACCATAACACCTCCTCCTCCATGCTTTACGGGGGTAACTAAACATGCGGAGATCTTCCGTTCACCCACCCCGCGTCTCACAAAGACTCCATACCAAAGGACACATTTCCACTGGTCTAATGTCCATTGCTCGTGTTTTTTGGCCCAAGCAGGTCTCTTCTTCTTATTTGTGTCCTTTAGTAGTGGTTTCTTTGCAGCAATTCGACCATAAAGGCCTGATTCACACAGTCCCATCTGAACAGTCGATGTTGAGATCTGTCTGTGACTTTAACTCTGTGAAGCATTTATTTGGGCTGCAATCTCTGAGGTGCAGTTAACTCTAATGAACTTATCCTCTGCAGCAGAGGTAACTCTGGGTCTTCCATTCTTGTGGCGGTCCTCATGAGAGCCAGTTTCATCATAGCACTTTATGGTTTTTGCAACTGCACTTGAAGAAACTTTCAAAGTTCCTGAAATGTTCCGGATTGACTGACCTTCATGTCTTAAAGTAATGACGGACTGTCGTTTCTCTTTGCTTATTTGAGCTGTTCTTGGTTCTTTGGTCTTTTACCAAATAGGGCTATCTTCTGTATACCCTATCTTGTCACAACACAACTGATTGGCTCAAACACATTAAGAAGGAAATAAATTCTACAAATTAACTTTTAAGAAGGCACACCTGTTAATTGAAATGCATTGCAGGTGACTACCTCATGAAGCTGGTTGAGAGAATGCCAAGAGTGTGCAAAGCTGTCATCAAGGCAAATGGTTGCTATTTGAAGAATCTCAAATATAAAATATATTTTGATTTGTTTAACACTTTTTTGGTTACTACATGATTCCATATGTGTTATTTTATAGTTTTGATGTCTTCACTATTATTCGACCTTCATGGTCGAAAATAGTAAAAATAAAGATAAACCCTTGAATGAGTAGGTGTGTCCAAACTTTTGACTGGTACTGTATGTACTAATATTTTAAATACTTATATATAAATACATGTATTACTCATGTCACACATATTCCATGAATACATTTACTTATATTCAATTCTGGCCATTTTTTTTATTTTTTAAAAATATTTAACATACAGTGGCTTGCAAAAGTATTCACCCCCCTTGGCATTTTTCCTATTTTGTTGCCTTACAACCTGGAATTAAAATGGGTTTTGGGGGGTTTATATCATTTGATTCACACAACATGCCTACCACTTAGAAAATGCAAAATATTTTAACTATTCACCCCCCCCCCCCCCCCCCCCCCCCCCCCCCCCCCAAAGTCAATACTTTGTAGAGACACCTTTTGCAGCAATTACAGCTGCAAGTCTCTTGGGGTATGTTTCTATAAGCTTGGCACATCTAGCCACTGGGATTTTTGCCCATTCTTCAAGGCAAAACTGCTCCAGCTCCTTCAACTTGGATGGGTTCCGCTGGTGTACAGCAATCTTTAAGTCATACCACAGATTCTCAATTGGATTAAGGTCTGGGCTTTGACTAGGCCATTCCAAGACATTTAAATGTTTCCCCTTAAACCACTCGAGTGTTGCTTTAGCAGTATGCTTAGGGTGATTGTCCTGCTGGAAGGTGAACCCCCATCCCAGTCTCAAATCTCTGGAAGACTGAAACATGTTTCCCTCAAGAATTTCCCTGTATTTAGCACCATGCGTAATTCCTTCAATTATGACCAGTTTCCCAGTCCCTGCTGATGAAAAACATCCCCACAGCATGATGCTGCCACCACCATGCTTCACTGTTGGGATGGTATTCTCGGGGTGATGAGAGGTGTTGGGTTTGCGCCAGACATAGCGTTTTCCTTGATGGCCAAAAAGCTCAATTTTAGTCTCATCTGACCAGAGTACCTTCTTCCATATCTTTGGGGAGTCTCCCACATGCCTTTTGGCGAACAGCAAACGTGTTTGCTTATTTTTGTCTTTAAGCAATGGCTTTTTTCTGGACACTCTTCCGTAAAGCCCAGCTCTGTGGAGTGTACGGCTTAAAGTGGTCCAATGGACAGATACTCCAATCTCCGCTGTGGAGCTTTGCAGCTCCTTCAGGGTTATCTTTGGTCTCTTTGTTCCCTCACTGATTAATGCCCTCCTTGCCTGGTCTGTGAGTTTTGGTGGGTTGCCCTCTCTTGGCAGGTTTGTTGTGGTGCCATATTCTTTCAATTTTTTAATAATGGATTTAATGGTGCTCCGTCGGATGTTCAAAGTTTCAGATATTTTTTTATAACCCAACCATGATCTGTACTTTTCCACAACTTAGTCCCTGACCTGTTTGGAGAGCTCCTTGGTCTTCATGGTGCCGCTTGCTTGGTGGTGCCCCTTGCTTAGTGGTGTTGCAGACTCTGGGGCCTTTCAGAACAGGTGTATATATACTGAGATCATGTGACACTTAGATTGCACACAGGTGGACTTTATTTAACTAATTACGTGACTTCTGAAGGTAATTGGTTGCACCAGATCTTATTTAGGGGCTTCATAGCAAAGGGGGTGAGTACATATGCATGCACCACTTCTCCGTTATTTATTTTTTAGAATTCTTTGAAACAAGTTATATTTTTCATTTCACTTCACCAATTTGGACTATTTTGTGTGTGTCCATTACATACAGTTTGTAATGCAAGAAAATTGGAAAAATGTCAAGGGGGATGAATATTTTTGCAAGGCACTGTATGTACATATATTTACATGTATTACTTATCCATATGTGGTAGTAGGCATTTGATACACATGTGCTATTTATATATTTATTGAACATATATGCAAATATGTGGGCTAGAAATACATGTTGACATTTATTTTAAGAAATACAATATGTAGCTATTTACCTTAGATACAGTATTTGGCAACATTCAAATGCAATGCATAACACTAAAAGGTTCAACACTATTACACAATAGCATACTGTAGTATACTTTGAAAAGTTTTAATAAATGACTCATGACTGACAACTAAAGGAGTGCTTTTAATCATCTTTATTTTCAGTTCAAATAACATGGTCCATTGTTGAATTGTGGCAAGTCATTGGAAGGTTGCAACTGAAAAAATATATATAATGTACAAATTACCTCTGTGCACTTATCATCTGTACTTGAAAATAAGGTCTTTAAAGATCAAATTGATACTTACAATGCAGATTCCTTCCCCTGGTCCATTATCAGACTATGTTAACAGTTACCCTGTGGATAATGCAGAGACAGAGAGTCAGTGAAACAATTCCACACAAGATAAAGAATTAGGGGTTAATGTCCATGAACATCAAATTATTATTCCTTAACCTCCAGTGTCCACTTCAGACTCACAAGTTGACAGTTACACTGTGGATAATGCAGAGACAAGAGAGTTAGTGAAACAATTCCACACAAGATGAACAATTAAGTGTTAATTTTCATGAACAACAAATGAATACTTACCATGCAGATTCCTTAACCTCCAGTGTCCATTTTCAGACTCACATGTGGATAATGCAGAGAGTCAGTGAAATAATTCCACACAAGATGAAGTATTAGGGATTAATATTGATGAACACATTTTAATATCATTGGGAACTAGCTAGCTAAATGAAACAAAATAATAACTTATATTGGCTGGGGTCTATCCATAGGCCGTTCATTCTTCAAACCAGAAGGATCAACTGCAGGGAAAAATATGAAACTTTTTTGCTATAAATAATCTTAGCCAGTT